CAAGAGCGTCGATCTTCTTCGCCGCGCCATGACCCACGCTTCCTTCTCCGAGGAGAACAACAAAGCCTTCGCCATTCTCGGCGCCACCGTCATCCAAACCTCCGTTTCCTTCCACATGCTTTCCAAAGACGTTGACGTTTCTCCCAAAGAGCTCAACCGTCGATTGTCCCAAATCACCAACGTCGAATCTTCCTGCGCCGTCGATGGAATGCGATTAGGGTTGCACAAGGTCGTTCGAGTTTCCCCCAAGACCAATTCCTCCGCCCCCGCCGTCGTTTGCACCGCCTTCCGAGCGATCTTTGCTGCTATTGCTATCGACGCTGGTAAATCCGATGACGCAGGTAACGTTTTCTGGTCCCTTCATGGCGCTGACCTAGGACTTTCCCTGCCTGTTTGAAACTGTCACTTCAGTTTTCAATTGTCCTGTGTTTCTGTTTGTTGCTCAAGATACTTCTTAATTACTGTTATTAGCTCTGGACCGCTAGTTGTGAAGCAGGGAGTGTTACTGTTAATATAGTGTGATGTACTGATGCTGCAACTACTTGTTTGTTAGTTGAATGAATTATGAAGCTATGTAGTTTCTCTGTGTTTTCATTTCTTTTTTGGCTGTTAATAATATATGGTTTTCGTGCATGAACTTGTGGTGTTGTTTATCTATTGTCAATTGTTTGTGGTGCTGTTATTGTAAAACTTCGTGCTAAATTGGTTGCTGAAGACACGGAGGATATTGAATCGGTCCTCTTGAGGTATGCTGGACGTTGATTTAGTGGCCTACTGTCCTTTGTTCTGTTGTGGAATAGTTGTTTTATGGCTGAACACTCGATTTGGTCATCTGAAGATTTTAGACATCAATTTGGTGCGTGTGTGTTTGGTGTGATGGATTTGAGTGGAAGTGAGGGGAAGATGTGGTGGGACCCAAATGTTTTTTAATACCTCATAATATTAGAGGATTAGAAGGAAAGTTAGGTTTTTTTATCCTTTTGTCCTTCTATTGAAGATTTGAAGTTAGTTGCATAATATATAGGGTAATTGTGTAATTTAATTGATAATATAAATTTTGGATTTTTATTTAATCTAATATAAACAATTAAAAATTTATCTCATCTTTTCTTCTGCTTCTCTTCTACAAAACAAATTCAATTTTTGCTCTATTTCTTACTTACTCTCCTTCTCTTCTCTTCTCTCTATTTCTTTCATGTTTACCAAACACACACATTTAAAATGGAAACCTACTTTTTCCCTCGATATACCTTTGGATATCTATTCAGTCTTTACATCTTGTACGATGAAATTGATGTTTCAAAATCTTTTGAGAAGAGGAACTGTTTCAATGTGTTTTTGGAGTTACTAATTCAAGTATTTACTCATTTTAACCAGGTTTTTGTCCTTTTTCTAATCTTTTCAGACCACATCCCCCGTGTCCCTACTGGGTAAATCTTCCCCTGTTTTACATGAGGTACATTGTCATGAAATGGGGAGGAGAAATGGGTGAAATTTTTCACTAAAGCTGACGTTTGTTTCACCATTCTTAGATTGGGTTTCTGGGAGCTAATATTTAACTTTAGGTATAGCAGAATCATTAGTTTTACTTATCCTTTTATCTTTTGATGATAACTTCTTAGATTCATCTTTAATGTTTATATAAGTCAAAACAAATGTGTTAAAGCTCTTTTAAACAGCTAGATTGGAGGGAGAGGTGAGAGACTGTGATCCTTATGGTTTTAGGAATGACGTGGGTTATCAAATACCACTATATGATGCGGTGCCTTCATATTAGAGTCGTTGCATGAAATTGTTACAATGGGTAACGTTGGTACTGATATGGTTTCATTTCTTCATAAACTTACGATCACAAGTAATAATGGTAAAATGTGGAACTTAAGGGCTTGGAGAAGAAACTTGAGATTTGATAAGCTATCCATTGGATATGATTTTGTCACTAGATGAGTAATAAAATTATTCTTTTGTTTATCCATACGAACTACAATGTAATTTTAATGAAGAACATGCTGTCGTGTGTTATACGTCTTTGAGTTGTGTCATAATCTTAGTTCTGTCTATTGTCCATGTCTTTCCCATCGACAGATTCTGGTCCGAATCATGACATCTTTTGTAGTAGTGGTAAAAAAACAGAGTCGACACATCTCGTGGGTTTGCCACGACTCATTAGTCATTACTTAATTTCAAATCTGCGAGCCCCGTGATTGAAGAGAGAAATTTAGATGAGCTGGTCTTTGTCATGTTGGATTAGGTTTTGTTAAAGTTTTCTTCTTTCCCT